GCCCCAATTATGTTTAAGGGATACTGTTTCCATGTACCCCTCAAATTCGAGGAGAACGCCGTAAAGGTAGCAATCAATGCGAGATTTTCATTAATAGCTGTTGGGCAAGCAAAGTAAGTATCTGTGAAATATTGAATTTTAATTACATCTTACTGATATCTTTGGGACATAGTGGAGTAATATCTGTTTATAACGCCCGAGACTATGTGGGGAACATACCCCTCTCGTACATTGTAAGGCCCGCTTCATCAATGGCGGGGAGGATGAGCTTCGTCACCTGGTCCCCTGACGGATATGCTTTGTTTGGTGGCTACGAAAAGGGCTGGGCGATATGGAGCGTGTACGGCAAGCCAGGTGCGCACAGCTTTTGGGCAGAGCGAGATCAGATAAAGCGGAACCCTGGAGAGGGTTACTTAGATGGTGTGAAGGATGGATGTTGGTTTGGTGGGGGACAAGACTTATTACTAGTAAAGTATAAAGGTGACGGAAGGCTATGGGCATTAGAAATGGCCAAAAGTGCTGTAACTGGATGCTACAACGCGGTAGGTTATCTCGAGCGAAACCCTCGATATGCACTAATGCATTGTTACACAGGCAAATGTATCACGAGCAGTGCTCCAGACAAACGAAAAGCTGCTTATATACCGCGGGTATGAATTAGCAGACTTGACCACCTTGGTTCAGGAGAACAGTATATTGTGGAACCATGTCCCCATGCCACCCATATACTTAATTGACAATTGGCCTGTTAAGTCTGTGGTAATATCTCCTGATGGTAGATATGTCGCAATCGCTGGGAAGAGAGGTTTGGCGCATTATTCGGTAAACAGTGGAAGATGGAAAACATTTGTGAACGAGAAGATGGAACATTCCTTCCATGTCAGGGGGGGAATGTGCTGGTATCATCATATATTAATAGCTGCTGTTGAGAGTGATGGTGTCTATGAGGTTAGTCCCGTGGGTTGTGTTGTGTATGACTATAGTGACATCAAGCAGATACGACTTTATTCCAGGGAAACAGACCTCGACAACTCCCTTCTCTTACATGCCGAAACATTACCTGCCCCTATCGTCCTAATATCCCTTGTTGGATATGATTCTTTACTTGCATACACGCTGGACAATATCCTCTATCACTATGTTATTACACCTATAAAGGACACCGTCAAGTTAATTCAGGTTGGGCAGCTTACATTTCATGGTATCATACGGTCACCTAGTCGAGTCCGTGGTCTTAGCTGGATACTTCCAGAAGAGCAAATTTTGGAAGGAGACCCGGCCAGAGACGCTACTGTTGCTAGTGTCCTGTTCTTGGTAGACGGGAAGTTGGCATTATTGCAGCCCGGCTCCGGAGAAGGCGGGGAGGTGAAGTATGAGATGCGTGTTTTAGAGAAAAATGTTGAGTATTATTGCCTCATGCGTGACCAGCCACTGCAATTCGTCCTCTCTGGGGCTACCGTGAACCATGCACCTATTGAGATGTTATCTACCGGAGGTGGGAAAATCAAAGAAGGCTTGAGGGACTCACTGTGGATATTCGATGGGAAAGATCTGAAAGCCTGGGTAGATGTCCAGGAGGTGATGCAGTCTGCCAGAGGGGAGCCTAGAGAATTACCCACGGCAGTCAAAGTGGGTGTGGATTTTTATCCCATGTCGATTTTGCTATCGAAAGGAATCATATTAGGAATTGAATCGGAGCTTGTTCAGCGGAGGGACATTAATTTCTCGTACCTCAAGTTTTCGACCAGGGTGGGTCCACTTTTTTCCGCTAATAGCTGTTACTAAATTAACCATTGATTGTCACAGACCCAATTGTTCATACACCACTTCTTCCGACGATTCTTAACTCAAGGGCAGCCTGAAGCCGCACTTGAGCTTGCTTCTCACTTTGAGAGCCTGACATACTTCCCCCATGCGCTTGAGGTCTTGCTGCATGATGTACTGGACGAAGAAGCAGATAGCCAACCAGACCCTGATGGTATGGAATTACACTCTACTAGCTTAGCTGGCTCAGCACTAACTTGCCTCGTTACAGAGGCTATTCTCCCTGATGTTGTCCGGTTCTTGACCAACTTCCCGTATTATCTCGATATTATTGTCCAATGCGCCCGAAAAACTGAGGTTGCCTCGTGGCACCACTTGTTTTCAGTAGTGGGCTCTCCGCAGGCGCTATTTGAGGAGTCCCTTGCTCGAGGGAATCTGAAAACTGCCGGGGGCTACCTGCTTATTTTACACACGATGGAGAAGTTGAGTTCAAGCTCGAAGGATATGGTTCGACTACTGGCAATAGCGGTTGCACAGGGAGATTGGGATTTATGCAAAGAACTAGCTAGGTTTCTCGTAGCCTTGGACGATACAGGGAAGACGCTAAAGGAGGCATTGGAATTAGTCGAGTTGAGGAGCCCGGTGGAGGACATGGAGAGGAGCTTCATGTTTGAAAGCGCCAGACTAATGCCACCGCCTGCGTTACAAAGTAGGAGGACAATGGGCAGTGTTGGGGTGGATGGAGCAAGCGCGGACGGTGGCAGCGAGAGCACAGGGGATTGGGGTGGCAGCAGCAGCGTCAGTGAAATGGGGGCCAGTGTGGACGAGATACCAAGTCGGCCTCTACCAGGAAGCATTGAGGAGGACAGTGGTACTGCAAGTGAGGGTGGAGACGCTTCCGAACAGCTCATAGACGGGAATGGTGATTAAATTGTGATTAATAAAGTACCATGAGTTTCACGAATGTATAAAGTATATGGGGATGAAATGCCCCAGTTGTAAAATCTATTATTACCCATACATATCATGAAGTTGAGTAATCATGAATACTATACATGTGCTATATCTCTGTATACTAGACTACTCTATACTTACCATTGCCTCATGGACTCTGAAGCGAAGTTACCGTGCAAAGGTTCAGACTGGCTTAGTCATTCATAAGCTTACATATTAGTAATCTTATGCCAATCAGACACAGCCCGAAGTGGCGTGCGATCTCTGTACCTGGATCTATCCCGCCTGATAACTCCAGTTTCGACGAAATTACGACTTGTATATAGTTTCGTTATTTCACATTTTTTATTGGCCGGCGGTTTTTTCCTTCTCAGCAAACCGGGCGCCCAGATATTGAGTGAAGAAGCTCTTCTCTACGGTTTTAATTATTTCGACTTGATACTTGTATGTATGACAGCCCACCATGCATGCTGTACCTATATATTGGAGCTCATGACACACGCCTACACGCCGCCCTCGTTTCTCCTGCGGGAGTGGTAGCGTTGGCAGATCCCTTTACTTGCTGGTCTATGTGGTGGCCCCAACAGAGGCTTTGCCTGGGTCACGGTTTTCTAATCTATCGCTATAGTACTCTACACGACTCTACGATCCAACTGTAGGGACTTTGGTATTTAGCTGCGCAGTTAGTATTATCCCGTACGGAGCGGGGAGGATCCTTTTGGCAAAAACACAACTCAGGGAGTGGTCAAGTAGGTGGTTCCGAAGAAGGGCAAGTACTCAGGTCCAAGGAGAACAATGGCAGCCAGTATGTCCCGTCAACCCACCACACCCACTTCCTGGAACAACCACAGAGGACAAAGTTAAAGTTAACAAGTATATAGTGGAGGAATACCAATCGGAAACAGATAGCGATTACACATCCTACTGGCGAGACTGGGTCGGTTTCCGTTTTCACCCCTGCAGACGTAACAAAACAAACAGCCACCTCCGATACCTTCTCTTGCTTACCTGGCGCAAAAACGAACCTGAGGGCTAACGAGACATGCGATTCTGTCAACAGTTCATAGGCACCAGAGGCAATGAATATTTCTGCGAGATTGATGAGGAGTACTTAACTGATAGATTCAACTTAACTGGGCTTCAACAAGAGGTGCAATACTATCAATATGCACTTGACCTTGTTACGGATATCTTCGACTTCGACTGCGATGAGGAGACAAGGGAGCAGATTGAGAAGAGTGCTAGGCATCTATACGGCCTTGTTCATGCACGATACATAATCACTACAAGAGGGTTGGCGAAGATGGTTAGCATTTCCGCAGGATGAATCGCTGGAGGGTTCACAAATGGCTGACATTTTATATTTTACCAACAGCTTGAGAAATATAAAAAGTCAGACTTCGGCCGGTGCCCCCGCGTTCTATGTCGATCCCACCCTCTTCTTCCAATAGGCCTTACCGACGTCCCAGCACTAAAGGCCGTCAAATTGTTTTGCGCAAAGTGTGAGGACGTCTATTCGCCAAAGTCATCACGACATTCCGCTATCGACGGAGCATATTTTGGCGCTAGCTTTCCACATATCCTATTCCAAGTTTACCCGCAGCTTATACCTGTCAAGAGCAACGAAAGACATGTACCAAGATGCTTTGGCTTCAAGATGCATGCGACTGCTGCGTTAGCTAGGTGGCAGGATGCGGAAAGGGATGCCCAGAGGAAGAGACTACTAGAGGCTGGGGTAGAAGTTATTGAGGAGAAGGACGACGAGGAGGACAGTGAAGAGGAGGAGAGTGAAGACGAGCTACAGGCACCAGGGGAGCAACATCGACAATAATGCGAAGCCTCGGGGGCCGGGGCGTGAGAGTCGAAGACGGTGGTCGGAGAGCTAGCAGTTTAGAAAGCTGACGATGCAATGAACATTTCTTTGCCTTTCTAATTTGAGATTCCGATTCAGATATTATGGAACTGGACTAGAAGGAGGGCGGCTTTTGGCAATAGTTGGCTACCGAGGTAGAATTATTTTCACGTCGTAGTTGTTGTTTTGTGCTCTGCATTTGATTTCTGTTGCTTTGGCTAATGTTCCATTTTCTCATCATATATCTTTCTTGCCATGGCTTTGAGCAGATATTTCGTGGAGTTTTTGAATTCGGTTGTACTGTTCATTGTTTTAGATCGCAGGCAAATGGGAATAGGGAATAAGATTTCCGTAGTCGTTGATTTGCGCTCAATGTTGAGAAGTTATGAACCACTCATTAAATTATGTCAGCCAATTCATTTATCGAGCGGGGGTTGTGGCCTAATGGTAAGGCGTTGGTTTTCGGTAATAATACTTCTATAGAAACCCACCAAAGATTGCAGGTTCGAGTCCTGTCAGCCTCGTGGTATTCTTTTTGCACGCACATGGTTCTTTAAATTTGGCAGAATCTCAGTCTGATAACTCACCAAAGAAGATTGACGAGGCTGATACTAATAGTCCCTTCGAGAGTAAATAGTTTATAGTATGGCTAAGTCCGCTTGTCTTACCCTCAATGATTAGTAATCAACACTTGGGATTCTTTTGTAATGTTAGTCTCATGCCAAGACCCTATTGTGGTATGCCGCCAGACTAGCTGTCTGTGTTTGTTCTGTCTTTCAACCTCGCACAATAAACAGAAGAAAAAAAGAAACTCTCGAGGCTGACAGGACTCGAACCTGCAATCTTTGGTGGATTTCTAGTATTATTACCGAAAACCAACGCCTTACCATTAGGCCACAACCCCAAATTGACATTTAACGTTGCGCTTGAAAGATTTACAAAAGAAAAATTTCCATTAACGTTTAACAGTATGACAGCACTCGTTCCATATACTCAATGCTAAATATCTATCTAGTCCACATCACACTACCAACCACAGTACGTAAGGAAACCCGATAGCCCCAGCACACAGCAGAGCAAAGGAATGATATTGAAAGAGAAAAAAAAATGCAACAACCTTCCGTAGCTATTATAGGCAAAATAACAACAAAAACGGAAGCAAAACCGGGAAGGGTTCATGAGGAGGGAAGTTGAGACATCCAATCTCCTTCGGCATTGGTACTAAGGTGAACCACCATCCACTTCCATATCGCCGCCTTCGCTGTTAATGCCCCAAAATTCTAGAGGCTTGCGAGGACGGTACTATAGTTCCTCGTCATCCGTTTCCATGACTCCCAGCAGCTTTGCGTAGGGGACTATGATTCGCTGTAGTTCCCTGTATTTGCCTGTTTATTTTGGTTACGTTAGCATTTTCTCAATGTTTGGATAATGAGCAAAAAACGTACCTAATACCAACACAACACTCTTCAACAGCTCCCTCTTATTCCACCCCACGATCTCATCTCCAACACCCCACCTACCACCACCACCTCCTGTGGAGCTTATATCATCTTCTTCCCCGTCCTCGTTCTCCATCATACTCCCCATAAGCTCCTTACACACCTCCTCAATCTTCCCTTTCAACCCCTCCGCGCCTATCCGCCTGACGTACATCATTAAATACTGTTTAAATTCTTCCTTCGCCCCCAGAACTATCGCACCAGCCATACGGTTCTCCAAATGTGAGATCGAGACCTGCGTTTCAAAGCCCTCGAACCCCTCACGGTTCAACAGCGCCTTCAGGATACGTTGCAAGAAGCGTCCCCGCCCTTGCATCAACACCTCCTGTGTAGTTCTCCGTTCTAAATGAGGAATCACCCCTGAAGAAACCTGCACTGCTGTGGTAGCCGCAGACGCACTAGAACTACTATTCGCCTGTACCCTCGCTGCAGACCCAGTAGAGTCCCAATATTGACTTCCCACCGCCCACCATGCCTCAGTGAGTCTTTGCCAGCATTGTAAATCTCTCGAGTAGGCATATCCTTCGCCATTAGTGAGAGACACCACTATGGTACCTTCCGAGTTGAGCCCAGCTTCAGTAATGCTCTCTCCCGGAACGAGTTTATCAGTTTGCGGGATATTAGCAATATCTAGAATTGGAGCAACGGAAACAGGGGGATGTGGAGACTTGAGAGTCTTGAGGTTCCACACGTGACATAGGCCACTAGCAGTCACGCATAAAAGCCACCATCCCCTTGAGGCCACAAATACTGGCTGCGCCTCAACAATAAGCGGGTTGGTCAAGCGGCGGCCAGAGGAGGTATACAGCACTAAACTCCCATCTTCACATGCAGCACACCAAAAGTTATTATTCCCTGTGGCAAGTAGAACAGCCTTGGGCACAAAATCGACCCAGAGTGTTTGTGATTTGCGAGTAACAGTAATTCTCGTTGGCTGTCCCCGGGTCACCGAGGTAGAATTACGTGCTTCAAAAATAATATGTTCCTCTGAAACTTCCGTCTGGGCATTCGATCCAGAGCTGTCAGGTTTTGCGGAGATAGGTTGCCCGGATGAGTCAATGATTGTTTGGACGAAGCTTCTGACCCTAGGTACGGCTAGACGCACATTAGTGACCGACATGGATGGGTTGATAACCGCAGGTCGAATAAACTCCGGAGTACTGAGGACTTTGCCGTCTTCTCGAGGCTGAACTATCCCACCATTTGTAATGGCGACTGTCTGAGTCCGTTTAGGTACATGCGCGTCTTCTGCATCACCAGCCTCGTCTTCAACCACGTGTTTCCGTTTGTTCCCTATCAGAAGTGACGCCATTCCACCCTTCGGAAGCCCATCGAATGGTTTGGACAGATCGAGAGTGATCGACGGTATATGAGAGCCTCCTGCTGTATTTACGCTGGCAACAAGCTGTGCATTTGGAAGATTGGATCGTTGTGTAGTTTCCCCACTTAATTAATCTGTTAGCTTCATGCAGTACGAGGAAACGCGTAGGTGTACTCACGTAGAGATCAGCATTGGTGCTACCCGCTTTTTCCCTTCTCTAGTGATTGTGATCTTTTGCTGCAGCAAACGCTTCTGCACAGCTTTGCTGTTCTCAACCGCTTCCTCTTTATTCTTCTCCGCACCTTGATCAGGAACCATTTGCCAATTGCCTCCAGGAGCTGGTACGGGTGCAGTGGGGGCTCCGTTGGCATCAGACCCACCATCTCCCATGAGTTCGCCCATCTTTCCCTCCAATTCCTTCCTCTCACCCTCTTTTGCCATTTCCTCGAGCTTTGCAGCATCCACACCTTCTGCAAGTCCCATTCCCCTTCTACTCACACCGAATTTCTGCAACAGTCTCTCGTTCTCCTCCAATCCCACCACATGACCCAGATCCCCATCCTCAAACATGATAGCCACAATTCCCCCGTCTAGAGACGTTGCAAATAGATTTCTACCATCTGGAGACCAAGCAAGGTCACTAATTGTTTTTGTAGCAAGATCCTGTGTTATGACCAATGGTCGAGGATGTGATGTATTCCAAACGGACAGAGCCTTGTCCTGCCCTGCACATGCAATCACAGTGACTAGGCAGCTCGTATCCATAGACCCGTTTGCTGGGATGGGTTCCTTAGAGAACATCCTTGGGGCAAAGGCACAAACTTCAACTGGCCCCTCATGGCCAATGAGGTTAATTTCAGAGTCCCAGGAACCACGATTAATAATTGCCACGGACGAAACAGGACCGTTGGTGGCATTTGCAGCCGCAATGTGGGCCCCATCTGGAGACCAAGAACACCTTCGGAAATAGGTTGTGAGGGGACTGGTTTGGAATGGAGCAACGATGGATTTCTCAAGTTGAAAGTTCGCAGCTGTGTCCTGAGCCGTAGAATTAGGCTGCGGTGGTATAAATCGAACAATTTTGATTGTGCGGTCATCTGAAGCCGTTGCAAAGTATTTGTTCGCTGGGTCGAACGTTAAGCCCTTGACATGACTTTCGTGAAAGCTCAATGTCCGCAGCTTCTCAAATGTGTGCCCCGACCACACTACGACCTTGGAGTCCAATCCTACCGAGACCAAAATACTTGAATCTGAAGACCAGCCTATATCCTGCACATCGTTGTCATGGCCCGCCAGACGCCTTGAAGTCCTCCATGTTTCTGTGTGGGGTGCCTCTTTTGAGCCGAATACAGGCCTGCTTGACGTCTGTGCGACTCGCTCGTAGATTAATACTATTTTATCATCAGAGCCAGAAGCCAGGTAGCGGCCCGAACCACTGAAGCGGACTGCCAGTACAGCGCCGGAATGTGTGCTGATCGAACATAACTGCTTCGGCACATTATGAGGAGCGGCCTCCGAATTGGGGTTGGAATTGTAAATAGCAGCGGTGGACCATATACGGACAATGCAGTCTGGAGCGAGTGAGCCACTTGACTGAGAATGTTATAGATGTACATACCTAGACCACCAGTCGCTAGACGTTCTCCATCAGGGGAGACGTGACAAGAGTAAACCTCAAACTGCCTCTTTTCCTCTGGAAATCAGTCAGACCATGGTGCAGAAACCAACCAACACCTAACGCGAATATCGGAGTGGGGCATACCTGAGTGGGTCAGCCATGACGGCTTGACGAATTTCATTTTTGTTTTGTTTGCTTAATGAATGCTTTTGTCAAACTACCAGGTTAATACCATGGATACCAGAGGCTAAAGAACATCGGTTGGCTGCTGTGGGGGTGTGTAAAGTATCGTGTAACGAGCCAGGCCAGGCCGCAGCTTCTCTCTAGACGTTCCCCGGAATGGCGGTGCAATGGCCCTTATACGCACGGGAAGGAGAGTGGCAAGTGGAAATTCGGTCGTTCGGTCTGGTAGGAGTGGCCTTTTGGCCTGCTTCCAGTGCGTTCTGCGCCTCAGTGCTGCGAACGGAGTTGCTGGCTATAGAGCATTTACAGAGTTGTTCAGGTCTCACGGAGCGAGCGTTGCGCGATGCCAGGCAGAACGGGATTAGCCCAGCCAGAGCAAAGCTGGAGGGCCGCCGACGGCGCTGGCTTTATATAAGTATGTTGCTTGCGACCGCCGCGACATTGGCAGCGCGCGAGACGGACAACTACGAGCCCGCGGCTGCCTCTGGCCAGGCAGAGTGTATCTCGCACTGCATATGATGCTCTATTGGCCATGGGCTCGCGCATTCATGCTGAGCGGCATCGCGGGGCGAGCGTGGGCACTCCGCGAAAAATGGCAGCCAAAGGGCTTTGTGCCGCGAGCGACGTGCCTCCGCTGAGCCCGCGCCTTTCTCAGACTTACCCTGAGCGCGCCAGCTTCCAGCCAGGCCTACCGTACATATCCGCACTTCACGTAATATACTCGGGGGGCGAGGGTTAAGTCTGCGAAGTCGGACAAAATCCCATAGCAACCAGCTTCCAACGCACACACTCTCCTTGCCCTGTTTGCTTCTTCATGTGCAATTTCAGGAGTTTCCTAATGCTTTTACTACCAGAGAAAAGCTGAAGCATGAGAGTCAATACTTGCCCTTTACTCTGTCAGTT